TGAGAAGTGGTGTGCCCAAGGCTCCTCATAATCCTTATTAAATCTTAAGTGTCTGCAGCAACACCCCACTCAGGACTCCTTGCCCCTAGTTGACAGCACATTGACAGTTAGTAAATGAATGAATAAGGGAGGGTCCCTCCTGGTAGGGCACTGGGAATGGATTCTAGCCTGGGCGGCAGGTCTGTCCTGGGCTCCTGGCCATTTCCCAGCTCTCACTGCACTTTTGTCTTGCACCCAAGCCTGGGAGTAGAAAGGCACCAAACATTGCAGTGGCTTTTATATGGACACTCTGGCCCCTCACACTGGCTCAGAGCTCAGGAAGGCTCACTGGACATCTCCTTACAAGGCGTCTTCCCAGAAGTAGCTGAGCAGGGCCTGGGAACATGCAATGTTTAGCGACTTTGCTGTTCTAGCATGAGTACTTCTTCTCCTTTGCTCTGGCTAAGCACAGAGCTTGTGACAGTTAGTGGAGCCTTTAGTGCAAGGGTTCATCTGCCCAGACCTGGGAACTGTGTGGCTGACACTGGGCTTGTGCCATGACCACAGTGACAGGGTCAGCTGTGACTTGGTCTGGCCACGAGGGGAGGTCTCTGGGAGTCTGTGGAGATCAGGGACAAGTGAAGCCATAAGTGAGTGACCCGGGGTGCAGTGAACCTAGCATCTGCCAGCCAGAAAGGCTGGTGGTATTTCTTCTAGAAGAGTTTGAGAAGTTAGTACTTGTGTTGCAGGCATGAACTTTACAAGCCACCAACTCAGCTGTGCAAAAACATCCCTTTACTTTCCTGTAACTAAAATTAATTGCTAGCCCAAGACTCTGGCATTTTGAGGTAACCTCAGCCCAATTTTGTGATTTATGTGTTGCTTTGGGATTGTGACTCAGTTTCATTTGTGATTTTGACCTCCCCTTGGTTGATTCTGAATGCCAGGGATGGTCACCAGAGCAGCATCCATGGGGTAGAGCTGGCCACTCAGTGGAGTCCTCTGGGATCATGAATCTGTCCAGCCATGGTTTTGTTGCTGGTCTGGCATATGTGCCTGTTGGGTTACCTGCCACTCTCCTCAGCCACTGGCTGCATCTGTACCATGGGCACAGGAAGGTTGGCTGCTCCCCCAAAGCACTCACCTCATTAGGTCAAAATGAGAGTTCTCATTCAATCACAAGTGGCTGCAGTCCCCACCCCAGGACTCTTTGCTTCCAGTTTACAGAACAGTGACTGCTGATGAACAAGAAATGAGGGATGTCCGAGGCAGGGCACGGGGAACTGGACTCTAGGTCAGCCCTCCCATCCCTTTGTCCTGCTCCTAAGGTAGGTTATCAAAAACAGAGAATAACAAACGCTGGTGAGGATGGGAGTGGAACCCTCCTACACTGTTGGTGGGACTGCAAATTAGTGCAGCCATTATGGAAAACAGCACGAAGGTTCCTCAAACAACTACAGATAGAACTGCCATATGATCCAGCAATCTTGCTGCTGGGTATCTATCCAAAGAAATGGAAATCATTATGTCGAAGGCATACCTGCACTCCATGTTCATTGCAGCTCTATTTACAGTAGGTGAGAATTGGAACCAAACTAAATGTCCATTGAGGGACAAGCAAATAAGAAATATGTGGCATAATATATAATGGAATACTACTCTGCCCTAAAGAAATACTGCCTTTTGCAGCAACATGGATGAACTTAGAGAAAATTATAAGTGAAATAAGCCAGGCACAGAAAGAGAAATACTGCATGTCCTCACAACTGGGAGCTAAAAAAAACCCTAACAAATTTTTTTTTTTAAAAGATACTATAATTACAATAATTCATTGAACTTTGAAAAGGGGAAAAGAGAACTGAGGCCACCACAGGTGGGAAAGGAGGTGGGGTTAGTGAGAAATTGGTAAAGGTCCACAAAAGATGATTACATTGTGTCATGTTGAATATACTGATTATTCTGATATGAACACCACATATTGCACACAGGTATTGATATTCAATGTTGTACCCCACAGATTTGTACAGCCAACTGTGTTACAATAAAAAGAAACAAAGGGACCAAACAAAAGGGATACACAGATTCCGATGGCTGTGCCTGCTGCCTACTCCCCCCAGCTCTCTGCTGGCTTGGGCCCTTCTGCAAGCCCCTGTCCCCCAGAGTTCCAGATGGGGCTGTTGACTACCCCTACCCTTGGATTTGTGAATTTATGGGGAGATTCTAGCCTTGCCTCCTCTCTTGCTTGAGGAGGGAGAAGGCACAGGCACCCCAACAACTGTTCTCTCCTCCGCTTACCCCTCGTGTCCACCTCCAGCTGGGGGATCTTCTCAAATTCCGTGGGGTGAGGGAGGAAGAGGGGAAGGGCCTGGGAGGAGTCCTCCCAATCCTGTGTGTCTCCTACCTGGCTGAGGCTTTTGAGCCTAAAATCCAAGAATTGGATGGCTGGGGAGAGAGAAGGGGTCCTAAATGGCTCCTGTGAGTGGGTTCAGAGATGAAATGTTGCTCTCTGTCCCCCCAACCTCCGAAGCACCTCTGAAGCGGGAAGGCCTCGCCTGGGATGGTTTGCAAATGCCGCCTCCTCGCCCCTACTGCTTCCATTTCTTCTGGCTTTTCTCACTTTCCTTCTTGCCCCTGGCCTCCGCTGCTTTTTTCTACCACTCCTGGAGCTTCTTGTCTTTTTAACGCTTCTTTTTTTCTTTCTTGTTCCTTTTCTTTTCATTCCTTTCCCTCCTTCCCATCAGCTTCCTTTCATCATTTTCCATATTTCCTTTTGTGAACTTTGAGGGGGAGGAAAATCGCGGCTCTTTGTTTGTTCTAGACGGGCCTGAGATGGCTTCCTAGGAATCAGCATTCCCAGCCAGTAAGAGGAGCGGTTTTCCCAGAAGCCCCTAAAATGCATTCAGTGGGCCACACACTTAGCTCTCTAAAGCAGATTCACAGGACATGGGTCTCGAAGCTCACAAGACACTGGTGACCCCTTTCCTGGATCAAGTCACCCATGTCCTCACTCCCAGCACCCTGAGCTGCCCCTGTGGCTGGAGAGGGCCATCTGCGTTTCCTCTGTTTACTGCCAAGGACTGTTGTGAGAACACAAACAGGAAGATGTGCTTTAGCTAGGTCGTTAAAACTGATAAAATTCCTGTGTAAAAGATCTCTGGAGCTCTGGAAACCATGCAAACAGCAAGGTTAGTGTCCTATGAATGGCCTTTCTTCTACAGTAATAGTTGAAAAATATAAAAGAAGTCAGAGGAGCCAGTCTGTGGTTTAAAAAACAAAGGCGATCACTTCCTTTTGGTGTCTGAGGTGGCAGCAGTGTAAAAACACCTGCTGGATGTTTTGAAAGAGGGAGGAGATGAGGAGAGGTGGGAAAGGAGAGGCTCCAGCATGGATCCCTGGACCCCACTGCCCCTCGTTCCTGTCCGCTGGTTTGTCCAGCCCATCCCAGTGTAATTCGTCCAACAGGCTACTTACTGCTGCTGCTGCAGGCACGTGGCAAACTGCGGCCCTCAGGCCAAATTTTGACCCTGTTTTTGTAGGGCCATGAGCTGAAAACCGTATTGACATTTTATTTTATTATTTTATTTACCGGTAAGGGGATGGTAACCCTCGGCACGGTGTGGTCTGCACCACGCTCAGCTAGTGAGTGCACTGGCCATCCCTATATAGGATCTGAACCCATGGCCTCAGCGCTACCAGCACCGCACTCTCCCGAGTGAGCCACAGGGCCGGCCCTTGACA